GTCATTTGGGAGCAAATGATACCTCAATGAAATTCTCAGGAGGCCCGAGAACCCAAAGTGCCTTGGTCAGTTGGGCACAATGAGAAATTACCCAAGTCCTGTCATGAGGGATCTTTTTCAAGACTATAATATCAGTGGGATAGGAGGGAAGGTATGCCTGAGCCCAGAGCTGCTCTGGAGAGATATGGGTGAGTTTACTGTTACCCTTATAAGGCAAAGAAATCCCAGGATAGAGTTCCCATTGGTAGAAGATCTCCTCAAGATCAGAATAATGAATCTTCCATTCCTGGCCTGTTGAAAAATATTTGCTGAGACTGCTAGGGAGTTCTGAGTGCCTGGTAAGTATACTTCCGATAGAGTTATGCGATAATTGACAAACCATTTCCAGATATCAACTGTACACACAGGGGGAAAGATCTTGTTCCCAGAGATTGTTTATGTGAAACACATTAGGCACTATTGTCTGACATTACATGGCTATGTCAGGATCAGAGGAGTGAAGGAAATGCATTGCAGGCCCAACAGACTGCTCATAATTCTTGTAAATTGATGTGCATTCTGGCCTCTTGAAGGATCCAGTTGCTTGGTGTATTGTGATTGTTCGTATGAGCTCCCCAATCCAATAGGAAGATATCTGTGATTGTAATTGGCTTCAGTGTAGGTGCAAAGAAAGGAATTCCCACCCAAATTTTCTTCAAATTTGTCCACCAGGCAAGAGAAGCCAAAACTGTGGTTGGAATTGTTACTTTGGAATTGATGGAGAAGGAAGTCAAGCCCTGACTGTGGAGCACAGCCTGAGGATAACTTGTTTTATTTAGATCACTCATGACATGGAATCTCTTGGTGAAAAGAGAATCTCAGTCTGCTCAACATCACTCTTGAGCTTGGAAATCATTCCTTCCTGTCAGTGGCCTGAGCACAGCTCCAACCCCATTCTGGATTCCCAGTTCTGGTCCTGACCTTGGCTCTGACCACTATGGCCAACTGCCATGGCTCTGTTTTCTAGTCATGATTATCCCCATCATGGTTTATAACAATCGTACAAGCAGGTATTTCCAGCCTAAATCTGAATGGGGTCTCATGGCCTGTTCCATGAGTGCTTCTGCAAACCACACTCTGGTCCCTCATGTGATTAGAGAGGGAAAGAACTACAGATATTGCAAAGTGGAGGTGATATGAACCTCCCCAAAGCAATAGAGCCTGGAGACTACCATTAACAGAGAAAGAACAGAGGGGCAGGACACAGTTCTTGAATCCCCGGTCTCTTGGTAAAGTCCCTCTTCAAACAGAGAAGCTCCCTATAGTAGGAAGAACAGAACTAACTAATCTGCTAAACACAGGAAAATACTAAACTGTCAAAAAGTATTTCCAAATTGCATTCACAGTAAAGGAAGATTGAGGTAGACAGGGAGGTTCCAATTCAAGACAGGCAATGGGCAATAAGAAGGAACTAGAGAGATGTTGGTCCATGCTGCCCTTTATATGCTTCTATTAAAGAATAACTGGTCATGTGTGGACCATTGTAAATTGCTTACCAAAATTTCCAGACTCAGGTGCATGGTGTGCATACATTCATACCACGTGTGGACTACATCAAAGTAATATTGAAGGTTAAAAAATACCCAGGGACTCAGGGGACAGAGAGGAAGTGTGGTGGTGACAGAAGAGTATGGGAGAATAGCGGGGAAGCTGACAGTGAAATCAGGGGCACATACCACCTTTCAGAGTACTTAAATGAATAGGTGTTGACAGTGATGTCTGAACATTTCTGTGGTCTGTACACTAATCCAGATTAAGCCATCTAGCCTCTTACTGAATATGGGCATATTGGGACTCATGGCTTTGTCTCTCATGCTAGTTAGGAGGGATGTTGTCAAAGCCATGAGTCTGACTTACCTGAGAACCACACTAAGCAACTTTTGACTCTGACCAGAATTATACTCTGTAAAAGACTATGCAGAGAAGTCTGTAAAGCTCCATGGACAATGTGCTAAAATAAAAATTTCATCTGAATAGAGCCCTTAATTAGTAAAACTGTAATAAATTATCAGTGCTAGAAATACTTATTTCTTATACACTCATGTCATTTGCTGTGTATTCTGTATACAGAATTATTATTTGTTCTCTTTTAATCATGAATGACATGATCATTTGATCAAACCAAGATGCCTTTCATTCTTCAATTAAATAAATTATTTTAAATGGGATTTATATTAGGATTTTTGCCATATATAATATACATAAAAATGGGCTACGACATGGATGCTTTTTGCATTTCAGTTGAACACTTGTTTTCAGATACAACTGCTTGCTAATTCATAATTTCTTTCGAAAATATCTAAGCAGAAGAGAAACATAAATTAATTTGAATTATTTAAAAATTATATATTAAATTTTGGTCATTACTCGGCTTCCCTGGCCTTCTAACAATTTTGTGTCTGAATTTGTATTTAAATTTGTTTCCATTTTTATTACCACCTTGAGAAACCAGCATTATCAGTCACATATTAATGGATCTCTGTGAAGTTTTTTCTACATACCCTATATATATCAGTACCATGCGGTAAAAATAATTATTGTAAACAATATCACCAAGATTTTAACATTTTGGACTGAATTTTTCCTCACATTTTTATTATGAAGTTAATTAGACACTTATACGCCATTTTAGAAAAATCATAAATTATGGAGGAAAAATTAAACAGTATGCTTTGTTTATTAATCCCTAATCCAATCCAGACCCATTTTCTGCTGTCTAATCTATCTCATGTAACATTTCCCTTCAAGTTAATACTATCATCATTTTTTCCACTTCAATATGAAAATTAAAACTCTCACTATAATTATTTGGAACCTTTCATTTTCAGCTTTCCGTGAGCAGTGATTGAGCAATATAAAAAAAATATACAATTCTCAAACAAAAGATGAACATTTCCATAAAAATATTTTGTAATAAAAGCAGGTAATATTCTACATACAAAAAACTGAAAAAACATGCAGCAAAACAACAAAAGCATTGTTGCATATTAGTACAACCTACATTTGAGTTAATCTACAGTACCTTAAGGGTTTCCTAATGAAAAAAAGGCAAACAACTTGTACCCAAATAGCACTGTAAAACTCAACAAACTCAATGATAAAAGGTAGACAGAAATTATTTTTAATTGCATTAGGTTTTGAGTAAATCAACCTATTTTTCAAAATGCAAGTACTGAGTATAACATACAAAAAAAATCATTTTTTAGACAAGGTACAAATGTATTTGCCAATTTTCCACTGAAGGAACTACTATTAATTGGAAAATGCAAAAAATGTGTTAAGTAATGAGAATGAATGATTTAAAGAGACATCAACCTTGGTATAATGAGATCAAACATCCACAGCACAAAATTATTTACTACTTGTATAACATATGTATGTATGTATGTATGTATGTATGTATGTAAGCAAAACACATAGCCATTGTCACTGTTAACCCTATGTGAGTTTAAATAAATATATCACAAAAGTAGCAAAACTAAAGCTAGTTGTCTCTTTAAATTTTAATTTAATATTTAACCTCCATGCAGAATTTTACAAGCTCCTCACAAGATGATATGAAACTTGTTAACATGGTTTGAAGCAACACATTAAAAAAATGGGAAAACGGCCCAAAATGTAACGTTTTCCTACTATGCATTTTCCAAAATAAAAGAAAAAAACACAACTTTAGTTTCTGTCAGGCAGACGAGGCCTTTACCTGAACCCTAGGAACAAAAGGCGTTGTTCTTCTACTAAGGCTTTGGCTCTGGTAAGCAAAATTAAAGAAAAAGCAATAAAACAAAACCAAAAAGACAACACGCTGGAAACTAAAAGACCAAAAGTAAAAACAAAGACACACAACTATTACTTTAAACAACTTTACACCAAAGACACAGTTATCTAAAACAAACTATTTTAATGCAGTGCATAAATTAAATCTGCAGATATGTTACTGAAGCATGTCAAAGCTCTGTGGTGAAATTCTCTCCCTACTGAAGTCAATGGAAGTTTTACCATTAACTTCAATAAAGCCAGGATTTCACCCTATATGTCTGTCTACTGATTACACTTAAAAGTGATTAAGAAATAATATTATCTAGAGCAAAAAATGAATACAGTGGGAAATAAAAGAGGAATAGAAAATATTAATTCAGCCTGAATATCTGTCAGAAATATTAAAGTGTGCACTGAGAGACTAGAAACTAATACGGTTTGCATGTTGCATCTATATATGCTTTACAATGTAAATAATATCAGTTTTCCCACTTTTCCACAGTTTAAAATAGCATTTGTACTGGCAGCCCTCATACATGCTGAAGCAACTCTTAAACTGAAGTTGCAGCAGTTAAGATATTAGCAGGGGGGAAAATTCTTGATAATGTATTTCCCTTCTCTACCAGTCATACAGAAATGACATACAGTGTGTACAGAAAATTCTTGCTTGAAATGAGCCCTGAAAAATGTAACAGTACTTAGGAATCACACTCTACACAATTTGACCATTCTGATACCTTATTCACATCTTATTCTGCAGATATCTCCATGGATTTCAGTAACTATTAACAGACTACGGTATTATCCAATGGGCTGGATATGCCCATTCAGGGAAGTAAAAAATCCCAATGAGCTAAATATGGCCGTGAAAGGAAGTTAAAAAAAAAAAGGAACTCACATTCACTCCACCAGCAAAGTTGCTGGAACTGGTAGTACTGGGGGTGTTGCTGCACTCTCAGCTTATGGTGTGTTCTCTATCACATGCAGCATTTACAATTTTCAATGACTCAGCAATGCCTCTATAAAAATGGTTCCAACACCACTGTCCATCAGTTGGGCCAGCTAAGACTGTTGCTCTACTACCTGGTGAAGAAAGAGAGGACTACTTCCTCCTGTAAGAAAATGGGAGTAGTAGATGTGATGTGGAGAGGAACAGGGAGTGGAAGGGTGCCTTTTCTTGCTGGCCACAGCTTCAAGGAGGAATAAGCTGCTCCATGAAAAGGAGAGAAGAAACTTTGTCTCACACCAAAACAAGGGGTAGCATAAGAGAAGTTGTTACTCTCAGGGTACATCTATATTGGAGCTAGAAGTGTAACTTCCAGTTTGGGTAGACATCTGCATGCTAACTTTGATTGAGCTGCCATGCTAAAAATAGAAGTCAAGCTGTGGAAATGTGAATAGCAGGACACTGGGTATATGTACAAACCCAATCAGCATATTGGGTATTTATTCAGGAGGCTAGTTCATACAGCTGAAGTAGGGATGTTAAATATCCGTTAGCTGAATAGTCAAGTAACCTCAAGAATTCTTATTGGTTAGTCAACTATTCTATAGTTCCTGGGGGCGGGGCCAGCAGCCAGTGCACTCTGGCCTCACTCCTGAGGAGCCTCTTACCACTCCACACTGCTGCCTCTCTATCACAGGCAGCAGCACAGGGTGCCAGGTGGAAGTTGGTCTGTGAGGGGAGCCAGTTTCAAAACCAGCTCCCTTCGTGGACCAGCTGCCTGCACTCTGTGCTACTGCCTCTAATAAAGGGGCAGCTGTGTGGGGTGGCAGGAGCCTCTATCTAGGGTGAGTCTGAGCTCCCAGATCCATCGTGAACCAGAACTGAGTCAGGCTGCCTGCCACTGGCTCTAATACACTTTAAATGAAGAGCTGCAGCAGCAGTAGGTCCTGGAACCGTTTCAAGCCAGGACTGAGGCAAGCTGCTGGCAGGACTGCTAAAAAATTTACTGGCAAGTGAGGGGAGGGGAAAGCTTAAGGTCTATAGCATTAACCTATAAGCTTTTGCCTTTGTTAATCAACTATACTATTACATCCCTACTGCTGACTACACCACTGTGGCTATACTTGTATTTTTAGAACACTAGCTCAATCAAACCTAGTGTACACACATTTATCCAAGCTGGAAATTACATCTCTACTGTAGACAGATCCTCTGACACAGTTTATCCTGTGGTCTGCTCCTGCAGAAGCACAGTTACACACTGCCCCATACTCAAGATAGACTGAAAAGTTACTATCTAGCCTAGTGTGAACGAAGGTGTCAAAAAGGGGAAAAATAGGTTTTCAAGGTCTTCATGATTCTCTGACATTGTAACAAATTTAAAAATATACAGTTCCTCTATATAGGTCTGCTCCCATATATTTAGCCTCACAGATTACATTTCTAAGACATTGAATCACCCTTACAATGAACTGAATGTCCTCAACTCTCACTCTCTGTAGTAGTAACTGAGACCGGGATGCTTGGTCCTCGGTTAACAAAGGTAATCCATCACTGTTTCTCCTAAAACAATCTTAGATGCTACCATATGCTATTAAAAAACAATTCTAAAACAAAAATACAGCCTTTGTTAAAATAGGGTTTTTTTTAAAGGTAATGCCATCTCCATACATAAACCAACCAATTAAAAACACCAACTTATTCCAGTTTTTCCCCCTTATTTCACTAAACCAATTAAATCACATCTCCCTCAGCAAACATGCAGTCTATGCACATCACTATGACTATTGCATCAATCTCCTTTCCAGATTGCCGCAGAAATTAATTTGTGATGAAAAATACCTTTGTTAAAATGTTTTTAAGAGCTGTCTATACATGGTATATCTAAAAAGATGCATAGAAATATAATGAAAATCAACTGTATAAGCAAATAGTCATATACTTTATACAAGACAGATCTCTCTTTTTTGCGGTGCTTCTCCATTTGGTGCAAGAGTAATTGTGATTTTACATATCTACTCATTTGTGAGATCTAAAGAGAATTTTTTCAATCTTTAATTCTAACTACCAGCAGTACTGTCTTCAAATAATTCTTTTCATGCAGCACTAAAAAAATAGCGAGAACAAAGTGATGAAGCAAAAAGCACTAATGCTCAAATGCAGCATTTTTGGAGCAAATAAAAGCAAATAAATAAGAAGGAAAGTAAGTGAAATGTAAACAGGAGGGCACCAACTAAAGCAAATAATAATGAAAATAATAACTACAACACATTACTCCCTGCAAAAAGGCCAAACTTCTGCAAAAGTAGAAAATAAATTATTCAAATAAATTAGCAAATGATAATAAACATTTTTGTGTAACTACACAGAATTGGTTTAAATGAAATGTGCATTTAAACATGGTAAATATATATGGAGCTAGGAGTTTTTTATTAGTCAAGATTATATCCTGCTCATTCTCTCAGCTTCTTTTTGGAAAGGTGAGGCTAGTAACAAATTCCATACTCCCTAATGGCAAGTTCTGGATTTAGGGTATGTCTAAACTTCATCCCTCTTTCAAAAGAGGGATGTAAATTAGACAGATCAAAATTGCAAATGAAGCCGGGATTTGAATTTCCCGTGCTTCATTTGCATAATGGCAGCCACGTGGTCTTTCGAAAAAGGGCTTTTCGAAAGTAAAACCGTCATCTAGATGTGGTTCTTTTGGGAAAAAAACCCACATTTTTCAAAAGATCCCGCATTCTTCATTTTTGTATCATTTTTTGCGGAGTACGGAATCTTTTAAAAAAGGGATTTTTTTTCGAAAGAGCTGCGTCTGGATGGCGTTTTTACTTTTAAAAAGCCCTTTTTTGAAAGATCACGCAGCTGCCATTATGCAAATGAAGCACGGGAAATTCAAATCCCAGCTTCATTTGCAAGTTCAATCTGTCTAATTTACATCCCTCTTTTAAAAGAGGGATGTAGTTTAGACATACCCTTTACATTGTATCCCCCGAGGACATAATCTGTCTTTCCCATTGCAGATATGTACATTAACTGCAATGAAGGGGAAATGAATAGGGGCATGAATAAACAGGGAAATGTTTAGGAGTACAAAATATAGGATGACTGCATCACACTTGAAATGTCTAACCAACATTTATATCACAGCCTTTGAGAGCTGAGAATCAACTCAGTAGTTACTCCATCCAAAAACATGCATTAAAGATTTTCTTACTTTTGTGTGGGAATCAATGTATTGTGGCAAAAAGAAATATACAAAGTTAGGAACCTAATTCCACAGACAGACACCTAAATAATTGTCCCCTTTTTCTAAGATGCCAAGTAGTCATGGCTTTATTAACTTTTATGGGAGCTGTGGATGCTCAGCCTTTTTCAAAATCTTGAGTATCTATTTTCAGTTAAATTTGAATATTTTAGCCAAAGAATATAGCAATTTATGGATTTAAACAGGTTCCCTTCTGTGGTTTGATTTTTCTAAGGACAATATAAACCTCCAGGCTCTTAGTACTGCCCAGTTACACAAACATGCATACAAAATCCCATCCACGTCCCCCTTTCCCTTCCTCCCTAGCAGCCTCTGTCCATAGGGAGATTGGATTCCCATGGACGCGGCTGCTGCCTCTGTATCAGAGGCAACAGCGCGGGGCAGCAGGCAGCCCATCTGTGCAGGGTGCTGTCTTTTAAACTGGATCCCCTCACTAACTGCTCCCGCGTGGAACTCCATGCGGCTGCCTCTGATACAGATGCAACAGTGTTGGGTGGCAGGGTCTCCCCAGGAGTGGGACCACAAAAATACTAGCTGCCTGCCCTGCCCTGGGGACTGTCGAATAATTGTGTGACCGATAAGAGCTCATGCAGTTACACAACTATTCAGTTACCCAATATCTAACATCCCTAAAAAATAGTATTATTCCCTTCATCTGAAAAATCTCACTACAGACCTATGCAGACTTTGTATTTAGGTACAGATTAGTGTTTCTGGAATTAGGAAAACCAGGAAGTCACTCTTGTCATGTCCCCTACTTTTCTTTTCTTTTCTTTTCTTTTCTTTTCTTTTCTTTTCTTTTCTTTTCTTTTCTTTTCTTTTCTTTTCTTTTCTTTTCTTTTCTTTTCTTTTCTTTTCTTTTCTTTTCTTTTCTTTTCTTTTCTTTTCTTTTCTTTTCTTTTCTTTTCTTTTCTTTTCTTTTCTTTTCTTTTCTTTTCTTTTCTTTTCTTTTCTTTTCTTTTCTTTTCTTTTCTTTTCTTTTCTTTTCTTTTCTTTTCTTTTCTTTTCTTTTCTTTTCTTTTCTTTTCTTTTCTTTTCTTTTCTTTTCTTTTCTTTTCTTTTCTTTTCTTTTCTTTTCTTTTCTTTTCTTTTCTTTTCTTTTCTTTTCTTTTCTTTTCTTTTCTTTTCTTTTCTTTTCTTTTCTTTTCTTTTCTTTTCTTTTCTTTTCTTTTCTTTTCTTTTCTTTTCTTTTCTTTTCTTTTCTTTTCTTTTCTTTTCTTTTCTTTTCTTTTCTTTTCTTTTCTTTTCTTTATATGATTAAGTCCTTTTTAATTTGTGTTTTCATTATTTTTTGCTGTACTTGAAAAAGTTACTCTAAGTTAATCCTTAAATAAAGACACTTTAATGTTTTTGTCTTTGATAGGCCAAGTTTGTGACCCCTTCTCATGTTTAAGCAAGTGCAAAGAACTTTGTAGTCTGCACACCTACTAGACCCTCTATACTGAGGATATCTAAATCTCGTTTTTTCAAACAACACAGACTTGCAAAATAGTTCAACAACAGAGAAATACAGGAAATTAAAGAAAAATAGCTACAGATAGCTGGACTGATAAGTAAAATAATCCATAGCTAAAAAATAGCAGAAAAGGCAACTAACCCCACTACAGAAAAATATTTACCTGCCTCATCTTTACATTCCATTGCATCAGTTGTGAGAATTTTATGAACATTTTCTTTACATATTTTTGTACTCCATTGATCATATCTCTATAAATATTTTTAAAACTATAAAGATGGGATTTTCAAATATGTTCAACACCAACTTAGTTCTGCTCCCACTGAAATCATCAGTAATTTCATCATTGACTTCAATGCATAGAGTTACGCCAATGCTGAGCACTTTGGAAAATCCTGCCCTAGAATTCTAAATCTCATTTGAGAGCATAAAAACCCACCAAAGTGTAGCTTAGTCCAAATATCATAATTTCAGATGATGTATTTATGAATTCTTTGGATGAGTTTTGGTCACAGTGAGGATGGAAGAATGAAAGTGAGCACAATGAGGAATCAGTAGAGAAAACAGTAGACTTCAAATTGTTGAGAACACGGGCCAAATTTGTAAAGAACAAACACCAAGGACTCCGGTTTGCAATGGGGGAGGGCTACAGCCACACATACTGGAATTCTGTTTGCTCTTCTTCTTTTTCCCTTCACTATCACTGAGAAAGATGAAAGTACATGGCTTGCATCACTTCTCTAACCCCTCCTTTTGCCAGCTGGAAGTGAAAGGAATGCACATAAGCTGTGTACTTTCCTCTTGCTCCCTGATAGTGAGGGGAAGGGGAAATGGAAGAAGAGCAAGGAGCATCCCATACATCTTGCTGTTGTCCCCCTGTCCTTTCAAAATGGCGCCCTTGGTGGATCCTAGCAAAGTATCTGTAATTTTATACACAAAAGTACCTGTGTGGGGATTTTTCAGGTATTAACACCCATGCATGTGGTGAAAAAAATTGTCGAATATTATTGCTAAAAAAAAGTATGTTCTCTCAATTGCACAAATACAGCTGGAGACAAGATTTAGGAACATTTGAAAATCTGGACCTACAAATCTCAGAATATCACTCCAATAACTTAATGGATATATATATAAATCCCCACAGATGATTGGCTGCACTTAAAAGCTATGCCTTGCCTATACTGAGAAACATGGCACTAAAGAAGAGAATTAGGTTCTAACAGGAACTTTATTTTACAGCTATCTGTCATTTTGCATAAAAACTGTATATGTTATAAAAACAAAACAACAGGATTAAATAAATGTTTACATACTGAAAGTTGTCCAGACAAGAATTGTGGGACATCCCTTAACATGCCAGGACTCATGGGAGAAGTTACTGAAATAGATGGTCGGTCCATCTTCTGAGATTCAAAGGAACTAGAACCTGAAATTACAAGTAAAATTAATCTATAAATAATAAGAGCAATTGACATATGAGTTTTGCTTTATGTTCTTAGAATTCTGTAGAACCATTCATTTTTATATATTATAGAATACAGTTAAGGCCACACATACTATAAACATGGAGTATAAGACTGTGAAAACTGGAACCTTTTTTAATGTGTTGAGAATGACCAAATTTCTCACAAGAAGAGCAAATATAATAAAATATGCTGTAAACATTCACGTCTAGCACATAGCATAAGTAGAAAATTCCACTATTTCTGACTGTTTTATGCTTATCTGCTGAGTATCCTCAATTCCCATTGATTTCACCAGAAGTTGAGGGCATTCATCATATTGCACAAGTGTTCAGCACTTAGTGGAATCAGACTCTAAGGGTACGTACACAGCAGGGCTCAAGTCTAATTAAGCTACACAACTGCAGCTAAGTCAATTGCGTAGCTAAAGATGAAAAAGCTTACTTCGGCTTTTGGCGCTGTCTACACAGCAGGAAGTTGAAAGAAGAACACTTTTCCTTTGATCCCTTACTCCTTGTGAAATGAGGGTTACCAGGAGTCAGAATAAGAGGTCCTCCAACTCGCCACTGTTTTGAAATAATGGCTTGCTGTGTAGGTGCACTCTTTGTTATTTCAGAATAACATCAGTTATTTCGAAATAACACTGCTGTGTAGACATAGCCTAAATGTTTTTGCAAATTTTACAGAAATATGAGAATGAAAATGTTAGAGTTTGGAGATTTTAATCTGGAGGCTTCAATGACTTCTGCAAAGTGGGAGATAAATGTTTGTGATGTTATATGTTGAGTAAGAGGAGAATATCAAGTTATACAATATAGAACACTAGATATTAATATCTTACATCTCACAAAAACATACTTTATTGTAAAGCTTAGCTCATTTGTGAAGAGTTATTGTAGAAGCCTGTTCACATTGCTACAATTAAATTTGTGTCCTCGCTTTAATTACTAGCATTAATTATATCAGCACAGTAAAACAGCCATAAAAATAAGTCTGGCTGAAATTTGACATGAAAGGTCTAAGCCAAGGTACATTTTCCCCCCTGAAATACTGGTTTAGTCAGTTTTATATTGAATGGCCTAAATAAAACAAAAATGTGCTTATTTGAAAATACCCATCCCCTAGAGCCAACTAATAAAATCGTCATCAAAATTGTTTTGTTTAATAGTATTACTATTGAAATGCAAAACAACAAAGTACAGAAAATCAAACATTAGAATATCAACTCAACTCTATCCCAGATGTGGGGAACCAAATGCGGCCCTTGGCTTGCCTGAATCTGGCCCCAGAGGCTCAGGGCTCCCCCCTCAAAATTGAGGAGTGTGTGTTGGTGCTTCAGCTCCCCTGACACCCGCCTGAGAGGCTGGAGCACACAAAATCCACTAGCCTGTGCCCCCCTAGGCCCTGGTGTGGGAGGGGAATGTGAGGAGTGTCTTTCTCCTTCTCAATCAGGGGCTTCTCACTTTGCTTCTCACTTGTGTGCAGCCCCCAACTGATTTCTCTATGGTTCAGTGGCCTCGGGCCCAAAATAGGTTCCCCACCTCTGCTTTATCCACACTATTTACCATTATATTTTTCTTTTTTTTATTAAAGAGCAGCATGATTTTATAACAGAATGTCAAACTTCACTTTAAATTTCATAGACACCGAAACAAGAGTTACACTGAAAATAGATGTAGAAATGTAGCCGTGTTAGTCTGGTGCAGCTGAAACAAAAAACAGGACTGTGTAGCACTTTAAAGACTAACAAGATGGTTTAATAGATGACTGTTTCAATTTGTGTTCACATAAGGGAGATGTAAGATTTTTCTACTCAGAATATGAAACTTACTGGATTCCAGTTGTGCATGTGTACTGTCAGGTATTCTGGGAATATCCCTGTAAGCATGAGAAAACAAGATAGTCTAAGCTTTTCTCAAACAATAGCTTTAAAACGTCAGTCAACTATAACACAATTCAAATTACCACATAAGACCTTGAGAAAACCATACATCTATCTCCTCAGCCACAGCAAATAATGTAATGACTAATGTAATAGCTAAGAATGCAGTTGTACTCAAATACAGTGGCAAAATAAAATAAAATAAAATAAAATGGCTGAATAAATAAAATGAAAGAAAGAATCCAATCATTCCAAAGTTAAACACAAAGTAGACCTGTGAGTGGTAGACTTTAAACCACCTTAAACAAGGTGGATCCTTTACATTGGTTGTCTCAGTCTCTTCATTACTGGCAACAGTCATGACATTGATAAAATCTTACTCTTTCTGTAAAAGTGCATAATTTTGTTTGACAACAGGACAAATAGCAGGAATAGTGTTGAACATCTCTAGTTTGGCACCCTCGGGACCTGACCAATGCCAAACCGGTGAAGGTCACTATTGTAGTGTGTGGGTCTTTTTATTTATATTTCACGGAGGTGAATAAATGGAACAGTTCTTGCTTAATAATGTATGTCTCTACTAATATATTCTATAAGCCTATGCCTAACCAAAGCTTATCAGCTGTCTTCATAAGCTCTTCATAAGTATTAGTATTGTTACATAATTTTACAGTATTGGCACAAGGAAATAAGTAGAAAAAGCATAAAAATGTGTACACATAGCAGTTTACTGGGCTCTTGGAAGACATTTAGGGGTAATTTAGAGCTAAACAACAGCACAGAAAACTGAGCGCCAGGACTTGTGACTACAAACAAACTTTACAGGACTTCAGGAATTGTGGTCATATCCACAATAAGCGGAAAATAGACTAACTAAAATCATGCCAGACCACAGATGCAGCTGGACCAGAGTGCCGGACTAGCGAGGTTCAACATATATTATCCTCTAATATGTGATAACTATCGGCAGTCAAGCTGGATGTGAATTCACATAATACAAAACATATAGATCACAAATACATTTATGCCTAAGTAATGATAAAGATTTAACTTGAATCCCCAAACCAGAATCTTCATTGTGCAAGCTAACATGGCAGATATAACAACTTAATGTTATTGCATGTACCTGTTAATATATGAGGCAAAATGTTATATCAGATGCAGCCCATGTACCAACTATGGGTATGTCTACACTTGCCCCCTAGTTCAAACTAGGGAGGCAAATGAAGCATACCGAAATTGCTAATGAAGCATGGGATTTAAATATCCCGCGCTTGATTAGCATATTCGTGGCTGGTCACCATTTTAAAATGCCGGTAGCCCGAATTAACTCGCCGCGTGTAGACGCGGTAGTCCGATCCAAAAACCTTCCCTCGAATTAACTGTTACTCCTTGTGCAATGAGGAGTAACATAGCCTATGTCGTGCAATGAGAAGTAACAGTTGATTCGAGGGAAAGGTTTTGGATTGGACTACCGCGTCTACACTCGGCGAGTTAATTCGGTCTGCTGGCATTTTAAAATGGTGACCAGCCACGAATAAGCTAATCAAGTGCCGGATATTTAAATATACAAATGAATCCAAATGCATCACAGGAGATGCAGCTGGCACAATAAATCATGTTGTAGTCTATCTTGTTAGTGAATAAATGTATAAAAGGTAGGTATTACAGCTAAAAGAACTGAGATATAAAACTTACTCCTCTCCAAAAAAATGTCAATCGTGCCCATCTAAAAATGTATGCATGATAGTGTATGCCTTATCATTATTACTGGTGATTTTTACAGCACCCCAAAATGTCCTAGGTGTATTACAGAACAAATAGAAAACTCTGGTCCTTGCCTTTTGCAATATTTGAGATACTCTGCTATTCTACAGATAAGAGAGGCATTAAAATCTTTGCTCGTTATTAAATTTAGCTTTAGCACAATATATCCTCAAATTCAACTCCTACAAATACTGTAACATGAAACTGAACCCACATGGAAATATGCCAACTGAATATCAAACCAAATTACTTTTTTCTTTGGAATTTTGGATATTCATCCCCATGACATTCAGAGATCACTAATCAGTAGTTTGAAGCGAGAAGAACTTTGTAATTATACATTCAAAACCAAAGAGATATTATCAGACACACAGAGCTATATGCAACAACATTAGATACAACACTAATTATGCAAAGTCATATACCTAGGGAGAGGAAATAAGTTAGGGAGGTTATAATGTCCCTCTTCACAGCCATGTGGAATAATTCATATACTACTGGGACCCATAAGCTTGGAAAAATGTAAACATAACTGAGAAAATTAGAGGGAAAGAAAATATTATAAGCACAGGAGAAGACACCATATAAGGAGAAAATGAGGGAGCTAAGGCTATGTCTACACTACAAAGTTTTTTCGGAAAACTTCCCAAAAAAGCCTGCAGTCTAGGCGTAGCCTGAGTCTATGGAGTCTAAGAAAAAGAGGACTTTGCCATCATCTGTAAATACCTTCAAGAAACTGTGTAAATGAAGAAAGGGAGTTTTTCACTGTCTCTAAAAACAATAAAGCAAAGAGAAATAACCTGAAGCTAAGAAAGAAAATGTTTAGGCTAAATATTAGGAAATAAGTCTCAAAGGTAAAAACAATTGGACAACACAAGACACTAAATAGGAGACAGGAGAACAGTGTAGATAAGACATTGGTGTTAATGATGTAGTGAGTTGTGTTAATGCTTCATTGAAATATATTATGCTCTAGATGCTAATCAATCATTTATTAGATTTTCTTTTTGCTCAGCTGTGAATAGATACTCTGGTTTCACTATGTGAAAGAATCCTCCCCATGTTTTACAGATTGCACCTCTATAAACCAGTACTCCCTGGTCCAGCAATATCTATGGACTGGAAGAACTATGGATGTTCCAGAATCAGAGTCCCAGAACACTGCATGGAGTAGGAGGGCTGGGAGCCCAGCATGATGCAGGGGTGGGTGGTGAAGGAGCATGGCCCAGCTGGGCTGCAGGGGGAGGTGGGAAGACAAGCATGCAGATTAGTTGGACTGATGGGGCAAAGTGAGAAGCCAGTCGTGTAGCTCAGCTGGGCTGTGTAGGAGGTGGTGGGAGAGGCGGGAGAGTTGGGAGCTGGCATGTGCCTCAGCTGGACTTCACAAGGCGGTGGGGTGGAGAAGCATGACACACATCCCAGCTGGGCTGCCCTGGGGAGCTGAGAAGCCTGGTGGAAGGATAGCCAGGGGATGGGGCCACAAATGACTTCTCCTCGTCTGGCTAAATCCCTTATCCGGGACGAGTCAGGTCCTGAGGGTGTTGGACCAGGGAGGTCCAACCGGTATATAATCATTCTATACTCTGGTGACAATGCAGGATATCAGGCAATGGGGATGGATTTATTATGAGTCACATTTTGACATATCCATGTATGGATGCAAAAGTGTGGAGCAGAGACAAGGAACAAGTTGCTTACCCTAAGCAGGAGCCAACAATAACTGTAGTGCCTGTACTTCCCTGGTCAGGGATTTGCCATCTATTGACGAGAGCATATTTTCATCCCTCTCAAGAGGGGAGGTTGCACGTGTGACCAACCTGTACGTCAGGAAACTCCAAAATGCCTCCTAGAGTTCTTTCAACCACCACCCATTTGAATCCATGTATAAGAGGGACAATTCCACCCTACACTCACGCTTTTTGATTATAGAATGTTGGGTACCATCTGTGTAAAATCTGTTCAATGTGTGTTGGGTCTAAACTAAAATGTAACAGCACCTTATTTTAGTCCCTAAGAAATTTTAGAAAACAACTCACCCAATTGGCCTTGAAACAACAAGCTCCACTTGTGGTTCAGGCTTAGATTCTAAAATGATGTTATACACCTCTTCAAAAGTGGCTCCTTGCAATAGCCTTCCATTCCACTCTAACACTTCATCACCTGCAATTACAGTAATAATTACCTTCTTATTAAAAAAAGCTTATCCTGTGAACTGCACTGGTAGAGACAACCTCCCTCCTCTACTACAAACTTTCTGAATTGTGTAATCTGTACTGCAGAACAAGCTTAGTGTCTTAAAATAAGAGAAGTCTGGAGTACTAAAAGCTTCTCGTACATCATCTTTGAATAATGCCAGCAAATATTAATAGTAAAACTAAGACAACTACTGCCTAGTAAAAATAACTCAGTTACTAACCAGATAAAGCATTGTTATTGCAGGTATTTTTTTTTAAAGTAAGTTGCTTTTTGAAAAAAATGTGAGAATGAATAGAACCTGTAAAAGTGTCAACTGGATAATCTAGGGACTGAAAGTAGGGGTTGGTTTCAAATGTATCAGCTGCATTGCTGTAGCTATCAAGTGTACATAATTACTTCAAACCAAACTTACAAGAACTTATTTTCTTGCTTATTGTTTTCTGTACAAAAGCTCATTTCTAAAGCAGACACATACCTGGTCTAAGATGCCCCACGGTATCAGCTAAACTGCCTTTTTTCACTTTGGTAATAAATGCACACAGGCGACCAGTTTCAGTCATCTTTCCTCCTACCACCTGTTTGGAAGAAAAGGGTTGTCACATAAATAGAATTATTGTTTAATGACTGAAACTTAAATGACAATATAAATAAAATAATTCAGTGATTCATTTTTTTAAAATGCAGCATATATGAGGCTGATACTGATATACATGTAAGGAAATCCAAATCCCTAGTTTAACGATAATGCAATGCAAATACAGAATTTTAAAGCTCATGAACTCTATAGTTCATGTAAACAGAATAAGTTGATAGTCTCACAGCAATGTAAACTACTATAAAAAAAATTCCCAACATTTAAGGTACCATTGGCTAGACTGTTTACTTCAGTAAAAAAAATCTACCTTCATAATTGTAATTGTTAGGCAAGGACATCTTAGTGTATGCTGTTCTAATTGCATGCACACAGCTCAGATTGGTTTTAAGATTTTAGGGACAGGTATTCCAAAGAGAGTATACTTCTTAACTTGTAGCAGGAAGGCACAAAATTCATTGTTATTAACTGAAGATTTAATCTTTTTTTAAATCAGCTAGTTACAAAAAAGAGTAATTTTGTAAGCTCTATTTTACATTATTTTTCTCCTTCAGGCAAAATACAATAAATTTTGACTATCACTACAAGTAAATAAGTCTCCAAATATTTAATATTTTTATAATTTTTTTACCAGTCTCAGTAAAAATATATTTAATCAGTAAATGACTGTTTTTACCGTATACGGTTTTACACAAAAAATTCCCCAATCTTTTAGTGCCTCGTTTAGTGAAAAATATAATATTCTATAGTACTGTTGATTCTTTTTCTTTGATTTTCGTTGGCTCTAAGAGGGAGCAGCTTGATGAAGAATCTGTACGAAAATGTTCAATCTATTTTAAAGTGATATGAACCTATAACTGCATAACGATAGAAGTTATACTATTTCCCTTTAATATAAACTTCTTCTTTTAACATACAAGTAATTTGCAAAATAATTTTACTAAGCAGGGGAGTTTATTCAAAGGGATCAAATTATTAATTAAATCTGTGTTAATTTGTTAAGTTTATTACAATACCTATATTAAGGATTTCTCTCTGTGTGGAAAGATGGTACATTGACTTTACTATGTATCTCTGAGAGTCAAGAAAGAATGTATTATACAGTGTAGTCTTCTAATTCTATACCTTAGATTTTTTAACAGGCTCTATGAAGCAATACAATTGTAATATCAAATCTGTTTTAAAGGTTAATTTACAGCTTAAAGAAACAAAACTAATAAACTTAAAATCCATGGAGGGCAAAATCATTTAAAATAATTTTTCATACTTATTTACTTTGGTTAAAACAATCGCAATTCTTGTGCTCAAAGTAAAGACAGTTAAAACAAACAGGACATCAATGTAACAGAAGGCAACATATTTAAACATAATTATTGACAGAGTGATACTATTATACCCTTATTTAATTTTTCTGATCCTCAAACTATGAAATACATTCCAAAGCAATTCCTTTTTCACTGACCTTGTCCTCTCACAATGTAGCCATTTTCCAATTAAATACAAATTCCAAAAAATTCTAAAGCAGATTAATATAGCTCATAATTGTGCTGACATAATCTCTATTTACAGTATCCCATACTATAGAGTTAGCTGTGCACTTGAATGTAAGCCAGTACTATGTTAAATGAAAAATAATGGAATAATCAAATGTGTTGACAATTTGCCATAACGAAGTTCAAATCACATTTACAGGTTTTGTGGCATTTTTTTTTTTACATAATTTTATTTCTTCTTATATTCTCTTAGGGTCACAAACAATTATCTCAAAGTCCACAAGATGCACATGAAATGGAATAAAACATGAGATACAAATATATAAATTATAAATGGACATATATGTACTAACACACCCGCCAATGGAGAGTTCAAATGGGGTAACTGTCCCAGGGCTCAACGATTCAAAGGATCCAGGGCTCCCTTTAAATCGTTCTGGAGGCTTGCTGGCATAACTCCGGTGTGTGCTGGGGTAGAACATGGACCATGCAGCACCAAGGAGTGGCTGCCCCAGCACCACCCCTTCTGCCCAAGTCCCCGCCTCTTCCAGAAGTGTGGTACCCCTTCTTCCCCCCACCTTGCCCAAGCACCCAGTGAGTCTGTTGGCATGCCTGAATACTAGACATCAAATCATAGTAAAGGTGAAACCTTATTGCTAAACAATCATATACAATAAATAAATACAAATTAAATCACAACTTGGTTTATTTAAAACATAAAAGTCCATAAATGTAAAACAATATAGAATTAACTTGAACAAAATTCCAACCCCCCTTCCAGTATACATTTTATTAAGCACATCTAAGACCTTGAGAAATAATCATTTTGGTAATTAACAATAAACTGTCACTATACTGTATTTCTGGGTGTACTGGCAACATTTAAAATATTTTTTCTTGCATATTAACCTAGTTTACTAAACTTTAAATGTTATTACTTAACATCTAGTTAAAAAAGTAACAATTGTCCATTACTAACCTTTAATCCAAGCACTGCTCCCGAATCTCTAGGCACACTTCCATCTTTCAGCCGTTTATTTAACAAAATTCGTCCAATTAGACGTTCTCCATCTTTGGATGGCTGCCAGGTCACAGGGTGCTATGATAAAATGTTAATGGAAAATATAGTGAATATATTTTCTCTGAAAAAAATCTCAATATTATTTTTATTTCCTCATAAGTATACAATTTTAAAAGTAGTATGATTACACCATCATTAATTTAATAAAATTATAAAACTAAGACCTGCGAAAGACCTCTTAGGTAATTTATTCTATCCCTAAATCATTTAAAGTATGCATAAAATCTCTACTCCACAAATACATTCATACATCCAATTTGTGGAATATTTATAGCTATATTTACACATAGCATGTTGTTTACAGTGTTGTTTTAGCTGTATTAACCTGAGGACATGAGCTGCAAGGTAGGTGAAATAATATCTAACTTCTTTCAGTGGAAGAGGCAAGCTTTTGAGCTTCACACAGCTCTTCCTCAGGTCTGGAGAAGGAAACTAAAATGTCCAAGCTAAATAGGTGGGCCATATTGTTAAGCATAAGGGGTTCATAGATGTTATCTGAAAATACTTTAAACCAAGTGGGCAATTAACACCTCTGCAGTCACAAGATAATAGAGAGTTAGTATTCAGCAGACTGTGTCAGGAAGTTGTGATGGAGATAACAAACAGTGTGAGATTTGATGAGGACCCATCCTGAACAAAATCTTTCCCAGCCCCTTTCTTGTATCCTTCAAACAGAAACCTAATCTCACCAACCTCATCAAAAGACACAATCTCTCCACAGACCAGGACACATCAACTCAAAACAGACTGTGCTGAAACAACAGATTTAAAACCCATAGCCGTATCTCCATCTCTACAATCATCAACACTCTCTCCCAACCCACCTTTCAAGATCCATGGCTCCTACACTTGCCTATTATAATATGTGGGGTACCACATTCGGCACATCAAATGCCACATCAACATCTATGTGGGTAAAACTGTTACCCCAGAATTTAAAAAACCAATGAATGGTCCTGCAGCACCTTAGAGACAAACAAAAAACATAGCTAGTATCATGAGCTTTCATGGGCACACCCCACTTCTTCAGAAAGCTGCAGGACCATTGGTTGTTTTTTCAGTTTTTTAAGTTACAGACTAACATGGCAACACCTTTGAGACCCAGAATTTGTCATTCCCGCATGTACCCCAAATGGGACAGTAATGCAGTCAGTAATTCTGTATGTTTAGCCTCTTCCACTAAAAACCAAATATCATATAGCAAGAAAAATCTTAGTCCCTGGGAGGCAAGACCACACAGTTGCAAATCTGCAGCTTTGTTTTCAGAATGGGAGGTGTATTAGAAAGTTAATAAATAAGTATGGAAGAGAGTGAGTGACTAGCAACCTTGATTTTAAATACAGGCAGTCCCCGACTTACGCGGATCCGACTTACGTCGGATCCGCACTTACGAACCGGGCTTTCTCACCCCGGAGCGCAGCGGTCCCACCACCTCGACCTCCAGGGCGAGAAAAGCTGCTCCGGGTGCCCCATGTCTACTGGGGACCGTCTCCAGCAGACCAGGGACACCTGGAGCAAAGCCGGGGAGGCGGAGGGGTCCCACGCCTCTGAGACTTTGAGCCTCAGAGGCGC